GTTGAAGGAAGCGTTTGATGGACAGCGTGGCTGTACCACGTGAGCCCTGTCGTAGAACCTCAGCGAATTTGCGACGGAGTCAGAGAAGCCGTGGGGGCGCAATTGACTGATCCAATCTGTGTGCAGGTGAGTGCGAAGCCGCTCGTGACGATTGCTCGGGTTATTTTTCTTTTTCCGCGGTGCGATCGATAGAAATGCAACCCTTCTCCACCGCCACGATGATAGCTTTTTCAGCCCCAGCGCGCCAGCACTGCCAGCGCGCGATAAAATCTGGATGGATGTCCTCGTTGCCGTCGTGGTAGGGGCCAATCTTGGCCCACCAGCTCTTGGAGCGAGGCTCTCTCTTCTGCCGTGGAACTCCGCTCAGGGACGCAGGCGGCCGCGTGTCGCATCCGTGTGGGAGGTATATTCACGAATTGGATGTGCAGCTCGTAGCTAACCAGCCCGTGGCGAGGCATCCCTGGCAGGAAGAGCTGGTGCCAAGCTGGATCGGGGCTCGGCCGTCGCCCCAATGCCAACGCATGGCTCGCGAAGGTGACATGTCCACGACCGTGGTCACGGGGTCCACGCCTGGACGCGCGGTGCACATGGCCCAGGAGGTGGACTCCGCGGCGTTGGCGGGGCGCCATGTGAGATCTCTTATCACATACAAGGGCTGTCCCAAGTGTCCCACCGCTGGAAGTCTCTCGAACGCTGTCTCGAAACAGGGACGAATGGGCGACCCTCAGGGCCGCGACTTCCAGCGCTGCCGCCGCTCCCCGGCGCTGTCTCCACAGCCTCGGAGCCGGTCGCATCATCTGACCAAGCACGACCGAGAGCTTGCACCGCTCCTCCTACGACCGCTTTTGGGCCCCCCGCGAAGACCGATTAAAAATCTCCGGGAAATCTCCCGGGAATTTTCCAAATTGTACATGAGCATTCCCAAACTCTCCAGAAAGTCTCGGCGTCGAAGTCTCCGGGGAAATATCCAGATAATCTTTGAGCTTTACAGCTCTCCAGGGAAATCTCTGGAACATCTCCGGCGCGCAGACATCTCCTACAAGTTTTCGGCGCGCGGAACATTTGGAAAGAAACATCTCCAGAAAAATGTCCGGCAAATCTTTGGAAAACCTCCAGCACGCAGAGAACTTCAGACAATATCCAGAGAATCCCTGGCAGATCTCCAGACAGTCTCCCGCGGAGATTTCGCTGGAGATCTTCGATGCGCGAAGATTTTTTGGAGATTCGCCAGTTGGCCTTTAAGGTGCAGCGTTTTGTATCTATATCTATAGATATAGCTATAGCTTGCCCCCCTCTTTTGGGACTCGAGTCCTTCCGTTGTTCACGCATGCTCCTGCGGATTGTCCCTTTCCTGAGCTCTCCTGGCGCCCCTGCTGGGACGTCCCCTGGCGCGTCCCCTGGCCCGTTCCGTGGCGCGTCTCTTGGCGCGTCCCTCGAGACGTCCCGTGGCGTGGCGCCCCCTTGGCACGCCCCTTGGCGCGCCCCTCGCCGCGTCCCGCGGCGCGTTCCCTGGCTCGTCCTCCGTCGCGCTCGTTGGTTTGTCTCCTGGCGCTTCCCCGCCCGTTCCGCGCCGCGTCCCTTGCCGCGTCTCCTGGCCCGCCCCCCGGTGGCGCACCCCCCAATGCGCCCCTGGCACATCTTGCGGCGCGTCCATGCGCCCTGCGCCTCGTGTCGTCTCGTCTCGCTTCGGGACTGGATCGGGTTTTGTGAGCTCGGGCGGAATGAGCGTCCCACCACGCTTCGACTGCAGCCAGGCATGGGCCGGCTGTGCGCACAGCTCCACAACTCCATCGACCACAGCGGAATCCACCGTGGCACGACACATCTCGTTCAAGCGCGACACAGCACAGCACACTTTTTTGGCGCGGTGCATCGCGACCGACACCTTCAGCATTGCAATTGCCCGTCGCTCAATCCATTTCCTTCTCCACCTCCTCTGCCTCCTCGTCCTCTTCCTCCTCCTCATCGTCCTCGTCCTCCATTCCTTCTCCTTATAGATAATTCCTCCCTGTCGCACCCCGAGGGCAATCTTTAGGGCGGGCCAGGCGTTTCGCCTGAGACTTCCTCGCCTCTCATGACTCTGAAGTACTCATGACTCTGAAGCCCAAACTTGCCATGCCTCGCATTTCTAAGAAATGTTCCGGGGTCGTGGGTCGATCATGTTTCGTGTGCGGGCCACCCACGGGGGGTATCCAACATGTGGCCGTCTGGCATCCCCCAGCGTGGGCGCCCACAGAAGCGAGACAAAAACAACACATCGGCACCAGATGTGTCATCAGTTGGCAGCGTCTTCGGTCGATCGCTTTCCAGATTCCCCCCTGGGGTATCTAACATGGATATGGATGTCTAACATGGTGGCTCCGAGCTGGAACGATGTGTTTTCACGTGTACAGGCCACCCACAATAATTATCGAACATGTTGGTCCATAGCTGGAGCCACGTTTTTTTCACGCGTCCAGGCCACCGAGAGGGATATCTAACTTGGTGGTCCCGAGCTGCGCGTTTCGCTCGAGACATCCGCAACAAACGAAAATGCTTGCTTTACCCTGCGCGTTACCGATCGGAGTTTCAAAAGCCAGCGTTTCGCTACGGACATGGTCAACTGTTTGATTCGCCGGCCCGACGCGACCTCGTTATTTCTCGCAAATATTTCCGCTGGCCCGTCTCAAATCGTCCCCGGGGGTATACAAAACCTGTAAAAGAGAACCCTGGGTCCCGCCCCTTCCGGGAAAAACGTTGTTACAGCTAGGGACCAACATGTTCGATTCTTCTTCTGGGCGGCTTCCACACGTGAAAACACATGGCTCTAGCTCAGGACCACCACGTTGTATATCCAGATCCATGTGTCTTGAGGATGTCTCGAACGAGACGCTTGTGTTCTTGCGTCCAGGCCGCCAAGGCAGATGTCTAGCGTCGGGATGTGTTGAGGATGTCTCGAGAGTGACACTTGTTTTCGCGTGTGCGGGTGGCCCAGGCGGATGTCTAGCATGGGGAGCGCGGACGCCGCGTGATTTATAGTGGATCGTTGTCTTGGGAGCGCGGGCGCAGCGCAGTGTACGAGTGATCGCGGCCCAGGGAGAGCGGACCCTGCGTCATTTGCACGAGATCGTACGTAGTCTTGTGAGCGCGGTCCTGGCGTAATGGCTTCGTTCATGGGTCCGCCGTGCGTGGCCCTTTTCTGATTCCTCGGTGTCTGGGGGGGGGAGGGCGGGGGCGAGGCAAGCCGCGTTTTTTGAAGCAGAACCGGGGCTGGCCTGGGAGCGCGGCCCCGCCGTAATGCTTTCGTTTCTGTGTCCGGCGCGTGTGGCCCCCTTCTGGGTCCGCGGGGTCTGGGGGAGCGAGGGTCTGGGTGAGCGGGGCAGGGGGGGGTCTGTCATCTCCCGCACCCCCCCCGCTCATGTCTACCTTCGGCGTACCGCTAGCGTACTTTTGTTGGTTTGGGCACGCCCGCCTTCATCGTACCGTCAGCATAGTTCAAAAACAAAGCAGAAACCGCGTACCTTCAGCGCACCTTCGGCGTACTGTCAACGAGTGTGTCCGACGTGCCTTCAAAGTACCTTCGGCATATCTTCGGCATGCCTGCGTAGTTTACCAGGGATCGAGAGGGAATCAAGCGTAGTTTAGGATAGGGCTGTGGCACTGGGAGCGTGGACGCAGCGTAACTTACAAAGGATCGTTGCCCTGGGGGAGCGGACGCAGCATCACTTACTAGTGATCGTGGCACTGGGAGTGCGGGCCAAGCGGAATTTACGATGGATCGTAGCCCAGGGAACGCGCACGCAGACTAATAACGGGGCGCGAAGATCCTAGGAGGCTCCAGGGGGTTCGCGGCGGGTCCCTTGGCGCGTCCCGTGCCTCGTCCCGTCGCACGCGCGTCGCCTGGCACGTTCCCTGGCACCTTCGGTGGCGCGTCCCGTGGCGCGTCCCCCTGGCACGTCGCGCGGCGCTTCCCCCTGGCACTTCCCGTGGCGCGCCCCCTTGGCACGTCCCGCGTGGCGTCCTCTTGACACGTCCCGCGGTGCGTCCGATAGCACGTCTCCTGGCACGTCCCTTGGCGCGTCCCTTGGGACGTGCCGCGGCGCGTCCCCCTGGCATGCCCTCCTGGCATCGCCCACTTATAAATTCAATTCGGGTCCATAGAAACGGTTCCATGCCCCGCAGTTCTCAATCTCTTCCCGGGTGCGTGGGTCGATCAAGTCTTTCGCCCACGGTTGCCGTGTCGCGGCGACGGCCCCGGCGCCACGTTCTGCTTTGCGAGTGGACAGCGCCCCGCAGGGCGGGGAGGTCAGGAAAGGCTTGGGACGTTGACGATTGTGGATTGGGACGTGGATGGCGTGTCACGCCCAAGGGCGCTGGGCCAGAACCCGCGGCGCGACAGCCAAAGTTTCCCACCGTATCGCCTGGAGCTCCGCTCGATGGGACGCGGGCCAGGAAAGACCGTGAACCCCCCCCCACCGTCCCGCCTCCCGACCTAGACCTCCGACGTCATGATTTGCCCACAACGTCGACCCCCAGAGGTCTCGAGCTCTTGTCATGACGCGAGGGGGTCTCAGGACGGCTCCCTCGTTTGGGAGGCCCTCAGCTGCCGCCGCCTCCACCTCCTCCTCCTCCTCCTCCTCTGTCTACTGGTCGTGAGAAGGGGGGTCGTGGGGAGGGAGAGAGTCCTCGTGCCTCAGAGCTGGGTCTCCTAGGTCGGCGGCGTGCCGAATACGGGGTCACCAGCCTGGCCGGTGACGCTTCCGCGGAGCGTAGCATACCGAATTCATCGTCTCAGTGGGGTGCGTGGTTACCCAACTCAGATTCCTATGCGTGATATTCATGTTCTGGTGAGATGGTAGGGCGATGATAGGCGGTAGGCATCTTTCAGATGCGTCCATGAGCTTGTTTTGTTCTCCTTCTTCTCCTCCTCGCCATCCGGATGCTGCCGTCCCCGTGCCTCCCCGCCCTGTCGCCGCGGCTGCCCGCCGCCTTGGCACCGCCCCTCCTCGGGCGGGGTCGAGGTGACGACCACGCTGACGTCTACGACAGAGACGGGGAGCCGCGCGGGGGGGATCCAGAGAGCGGGGACAGGATCCTGGATGATGCTGGAAACGCTGGGAGGGGGCCTTTTTCCCAGAAAAGGCCTGAGCCCATGGTTTCTTGTAGTTGGTAAACTGTCCCCGTGCCAACTTCGAAGAGGGCTGGCGGATTTGCTTGGAATTAATAATAAGGTCGAAGTGGGCTGGCGGATTAAGTTTAGAGAATCTCCCGAGCGAAACGTTGGTTCTTGAAAGTCCGATCGATCATTTGTTGCGGATGTATCGAGCGAAACATTTGTTGTGCAGAAGTTGCGATGGATATCTCGAGCGAAAGGCTTGTTTTGTCCTATATGTTGCTCCTCTCCTGGGGGGGGCAGAATTCAGAGGATGTCTGAGGCGAAGAGCTTGTTTTCACGTGCCCAGGTCGCAAAGGGTGGTATCTAACATGGTTGTCCCCAGGTGGGACGTGTTTTCACGTGTCCAGGCCACCCAGGGAAGTATCTAGGATGGTGGCCCCGAGCTGGGGCCATGTGCTTTTTTCTTGTCCTGGCCACCCAGTATGGTATCTAACATCGTGGTCCCGAGCTGGAGCCACCTTTTTTCTGTGTCCAGGCCACCCTGAGGGGTATCTAACATGGTTGTCCCGAGCTACCCACAGGAGAGGTTTCAAATGCGGTCGTCTGGGGCCCCCCAGTGTTGGGGCCCGAAAGCCAGGACAAATCAATAACGCAGTACCAGGTGCGGAATAATTTGACACAGTTTCTTGGGCGGGTGATTTGCCATATTCCCCATTGTGCATTTAACATGGTGGTCCCGAGCTGGAACTACTTGTTTTCACGTGTCGAGGCCACCCAGAGAGGTATCTACCATTGTGCCCCCGAGTTGGAACCACGTGTTTTCACGTATCCAGACCACCCAGAGAGGCATCAAACATTGTTGTCCCGAGCTGGAACCCAGTGTTTTCTTCACATGTCCAGGCACATAGTGGCCCCGAGCTGTAACCACATGCTTTTTTACGTGTCCAGGCCACCCAGGGGGTATCGAACATAGTGGTCCCGAGCTGGAACCATGTATTTCTATGTGTCCAGATCGCCGGGGGATCTAAGATCGTTGCCTTTTGCCCCTCGCTAAAACCATGCGTCCAGGCAGCTCAGAGAGGTACCTAACATGGTGGCCCCGAGCTGGAACCATGTGTTTTCACGTGTTCAGGCCACCCAGATGGGTACTCCAGGTCTCTCAATAAGCGTGGGGGGGTGGATCGCGTGGGGGGATGGGAGACCGCTGTCCTTCGGGGGGCGCGGGGAGGTTGGGGAGCTAGAGGGGATGGGTTTGGGGCGCGTTGGGGGGCGGGCAAGGGGCGTCGGACAGGTTGGCACGGGGGGGTGCTAATTGAAGGATGTGGAGTATCTAACATGGCTGTCCCTAACAATGGCTGCCCCAAGGGAGGGCATACAACATGTGATCGTCTGGGCGCCCCCAGCGTGGGGGTCTCGCAAAAAAGCCAGACACGATCCATGATTCGACTTCAGCTGCGTCATGACCTGGCACAGTTTCTTGTGCTGCTGATTCTTCAGACCTCCCATCGGGGTATCTAACATGGTAGTCCCGAGCTGGAGCCACGTGTTCTCACGTGTCCAGGCCACCCAGGAGGATATCTAACATCTTGGTCCCAAGCTGGAGCCATGAGTTTTTACGTGCCCAGGCAGACCAGGGGGGTATCTAACGTGGTGACCCCGAGCTGGAACCATGTATTTTCACGTCTCCAGGCCACCCAGGGGGGCTCAAACATAGTGTTCACGAGTTGGATCCACATTCTCCCCGGAAAGGGCATCGGCCCAGGGTTCGTATTTAGGTTGTGTCAAATTGTCGCCGCGTTCCAGGCTGTCGTGGGCCGGCGAATTCCCGTTCGATAGAGACCAGGTGCAGTCCAATTCGGTCTGCTCCCGAAGCTGCAGGTGCAACGGGGGGTGCGCCAGCTGCCGATTGTTTTGGGAGGCGGAGTTTCGGGCTCAGCGGTAGCTTTTGGGGGCCATCGTGGTTCCCTGAAAAGGGGGAATACGCAGGTGATCGGCAAATGTTTCCCTGATTTGGGTCCTCGGTATGGCCCAGGTGACCAGAAAATGTTCCTTTGATCCTGGCCTGAACAATCCAACTAAGCGGGATATATAGCGGCGCAACAAAAGGTCCTCTTTGTCACCCCTAACTGGCTGACCTCAGCAATGCGCAAGCAATGTTGTGGGACGGAGCTTGCCGCATACAGTTGCGACAGTCTAGGCCTCCTAGAAGGGTCGGAGTAGATGGGGTCGGAGGATCGCGCCGCATCGGCGATGCATCAGCGATGCGGCTCGATGTGGATCCCGACTTTCTCCACGCCGATGGCGCTGATGCCTGGTCGACTTCGCCGACGCATCGCGGTTGCAGCGCGATCCTCCGACCCCATCTACTCGGACCACATTTGGGAGGCCTCTAGGCAGGGGGGCCCCCGCAAGCTATGGACACCGCCGACGGCGGATGGAGGTTCCAACAGCTTGCGTGGAGTCGAGATTATGTACGCCTCTTCGGGCGGATAGAGGTTTCCACAGCTTGCGTGGATCACAGGTGGAGAGGGTGCCAGTTGATGAGGGTCCCAGTTGGTAGACTTACGTTGGACATGTCCCTCTACAGGAGGAATTTGTGATACCAGACTGTTGACCATTTTTCGTTCTCTGTTGACCATGTTTGGGTTATGTTTGACTGTTGTCATTTTTCTTCCAAACTTCGCCTGTAGGAGGACATGCCAGACCTAGTGGTATCATCATGTAGAGCACGGGGGCATGGGGCAAGGCAGTGGCAGCGGCTGCATGCATCGACCCTCAGGTCGCCGTTTGGCTCGGACAGCTGGCTTTGGTGTCTCTGCCCAGGGTCCTGCTAGCAGGATATGTTGCAAATTTGACTTTGCCATATGCTCTGATGATGACCCCCGTGGACTTTGACCCCCTGACCTTGGCATCATATTATAAATTTGTCTCTTATGTTCTGATAGTGGATTAAATTTTAATGTTGCAGCATGTTACCGATCCCAGGTCAATGTTCTACCATACTGTACTATAGCAGACTGTTTCGATTCGAATCATCAGGTTATGCTACAGTCAGAGTGAGGGGGGCGAACGATCTTACAGTGTCCCTGGGTTGGTAGATGAGATGTGGATCCGCGGTGGGGATTATGTTTGATGTCGTTGTCGTCGTCCCGGCGGGTGGGTCGCTGTGCGCATGGGTCAAGGCGCGGGCGGGTCGCGGCGCTGGTCGGTCGCGGGTGGGTTGTGGCGCCGATGGGTCTCGGGTGGGTCGTTGGTGGGTCGCGACTTGTGCTTAGGGCCTGCCCGGCACGGGGGTTGGGGGGACACTGCACGGTTTTACGATATTGGCATCTGGGCTCAAGATGTATATGAAATGCGTACCGCCATCATGTATGACGCGTACAAACACAATTCCCAGCCGCGTTTTGATTGCTTGATGGATACCAAAGGACCATTCCCAGACACATCTTGGGGGCCCCAAGAGCCTCAAAACGGCGTTGTCGTTCGAAGTTTCAGTCGCCACATGGGTGTCCTTCATTAATGTTACTCTGGTTTTGCGCACTCCATCTGCTACTTCCTTTGAATCGGGTGGCGCTCCCGTGCAGGAAATCAGCGGTTCAAATCTTTCCGGCCGCCAGAGCTCAGGGGGTCATTTTTTCCCGGCGGTGAGGATGTCTTGAGCGCGGCGGGGCGAGGTTCGCTTTCTCTTTCGCTCACCAGTCCCTGGGGGTAAAATTCTTCGGGCGGCCCTGGCCCAAGATATCCTGTATTCCTGACAGGTGCGTAACATATTAAAACATCGTATGAATTCTCCTTTCTAAAAAGAGAATAGACGCTCCCCCCCCCAGCGTTATCGGTATCCCTTTCGGGTATGTAAATCACATATGAGTATGACCACATGTCCATCCTAAATATGAAATCACAGTGTCCCAGGCCAGCCGGTATCTCCCCCCCCTGAGGTTCCCTTCTAAAAAAACACTATGCGGTGACATTTTTTGTTCTAACATAGCACTTTTCCACGAATCCCTTGCAAAAAATGGGACGCAGTGCACACGCGCGCGCCGTCGCGCGCGCGTGCCGAAATCCTTCAAAAACCTGCGGTGTCGGAAGGATTTCGCAATCGAGTTTCCAAACAACGTGCAAAAAAACACTTGGCTTTGCAACACTGATTTGCTAAAAAAGCTTACGCGCGAGCTCTTGCGAAATCTTAAGAAAACCATAGGTTTTTCAAGATTTACACAACATGCTATCAAACGGGCTTCGCGCGCGCGCATGTCGAAATCTGTCGAACGCCCTTGCGCGTGTGCCGTCGCGAGAATCCTCTGCAAAAAATGAGACGAAGTGCAGACGCGCGCGTCGTCGCGCGCGTATGCCGAAATCCTTCAAAACCCATCGGTTTCGGAAGGATTTCAAGATCGTGTGTCCAAAAAAACATACAAAAACACAAGGTTTCGTCGTTATCATCATCATCATCGACTTCCCTCCTCCCTCGTCGTTATCATCATCAGCGTCGCCGTCCTTCCTCCTTCTTCGTCGTTCGCGTCGTCGCCGTCCTCCCTCCTCCCTCGTCGTTGTCGTCGTTGTCGTCGGTGTCGTCGTTGTCGCCGTCGTCGTCGTTCCTCCTCCCTCGTCGTCGTTTTCGTTGGCGACGTCGTCGTCGTCTTCATCGTCGTCGTCGTCGTCGATGTCGGCGTCGTCGTCGTCTCTGCCGTCGTCGTCGACGTCGTCGACGTCGTTGACGTCGTCGTCGTCGTCGGTGTCGTTGTTGTCGTCGTCGTCGGTGTTGTCATCGTCGTTGTCGTTGTCATCGTCGTTGTCGTCGTCGTCGGTGTCGTCGTCGTCGTCGGTGTCGTCGTCGTCGTTGTTGTCGTTGTCGGCGTCGTCGAAGTCGTTGGAGACGTCGTTGGTGTCGTTGTAGTCGTTGTCGGCGGCGTCGTCGTCGTTGTCGCTGCCGTGGTCGGCGTCGCTGTCGTTGCCAAGTGCCATGTGGTACCCACCGTCACGGTCTTAAGAGATTTTGCAAACCAAGTTGCGGGTGGGTGGGTGGGATGTTTGCGCGAGCAGTGGAGGGGACATTTCATTGCGAACAGAAATTAATTCTCCTTTCTAAAAAGAGAATAGACGCTACCCCCCCCGGCTTTATCGGTACCCCTCTCGGGTATGTAAATCACATATGATTATGACCACATGTCCATCCTAAATATGAAATCACAGTGTCCCAGGCCAGCCGGTATCCCCCCCCCCTGAGGTTCCCTTGTAAAAAACACTATGCGGTGACATTTTTTGTTCTAACATAGCACTTTTTCGCGAATCCCTTGCACGCGCGCGCCGTCGCGCGCGCATGCCGAAATCCTCCAAAAACTTAGGTGTCGGAGAGATTTCGCAATCGAGCTTCGATTTCGCAATCGAGTTTCCGAAAATCATACAAAAACACATGGTTTCGCAACACTGGTTTGCTAAAAAAACTTCCGCGCGAGCTCTTGCGAAATCTTAAGAAAACCATAGGTTTTTTCAAGATTTTCACAAAATGCTACCAAACGGGCTTCGCGCGCGCGCATGTCGAAATCTGTCGAACGCCCTTGCGCGTGTGCCGTCGCGAGAATCCTCTGCAAAAAACGGGACGAAGTGCAGACGCGCGCGTCGTCGCGCGCGTATGCCGAAATCCTTCAAAACCCATCGGTTTCGGAAGGATTTCAAAATCGTGTGTCCAAAAAAACATACAAAACAACAGGTTTCGCAATACGGATTTTCAACAAAGCGTGCGCGCGCGCTCTTGCGTCGTCGTCGTCGTCGTCGCCGTCCTCCCTCCGTCGTCGTCGGCGTCGTCGTTCTCTGTCTTTCCTCGTCGTCGTCGTCTTGGCGTCGTCGTCGTTTCCGTCGTCGTTGTCGCCGTGGACGTCGTTTCCTCTTCCCTCGACGTCGTCGTCCGTCGTCGGCGTCTCGTCGTCGACCCTCCTATTTCATCGCCGTCGTCGTCATCGTCGTCGTCGTCGTCTTCCCTCCTCCCTCGTCGTTGTCGTCGTCGGCGTCGCCGTCCTCCCTGCTTCTTCGTCGTTCGCGTCGTCGCCGTCCTCCCTCCTCCCTCGTCGTTGTCGTCGATGTCGTCGTCGTCGTCCTCCCTCCTCCCTCGTCGTCGTCGTCGTCTTCGTTGGCGGCGTCGTTGTCGTCGTCGTCGTCGTTGTCTTCGTCGTCGGCGTCGTCGTCGTGGAGGAGAAGGTGGAGGAGGAGGAGGAAGAGGACGAATCGGAATCGAAATTGGAATGAAGCGTTAAAAAGAAGCATTGGCGCAGAAGGTCCCCCCATTCACCCACAATCCTTGGGCTCAAGGCCCCTGGACAGCCTGTCGATGTCAGAGGGAAGGGGCCGAACGGCCTTACAGTGTCCCTGGGTGCGTGGCTGAATTGTGGATCCGCGGTGAGGGCTCTGCTTGTTGTTGTTGTCGTCGTCGTCGTCGGCGTCGGCGTCGGCGTCGGCGTCGGCGTCGGCGTCGGTGTCGGCGTCGGCGTCCCAGCGGGTGGGTGTGGGTCGGACGACAATGGCGACAATGACGACGGTGCCGACGGTGAGTCGCGGGCGGGTCGCCGGCAGGTCGCGGCGGGTCGGCCGCGGATCTACAACTCACCTGTTGCCGGAGGTTTTGCCACGCGTCTGGCCCGTTGGTTGTCCGAAAATCCCATAGCAGAAGACGCTTGAAAACACGCCCCCAGCATTTTCCACACTAAGTGCGACAGGGGACATCATAGCAGGTACGCTTGGCGTTTGAAAGATCCCCGGCGCTGTGGCTCCGCCGCCCCGCTCATTGCACACGATATTCCCAACTTTGAGACTAGCGTGCACCGAATAAGCCCTGGCAGTGGGATAGCGCGCACAGGGGGGGCTCTCGCGTGGGGATCGCCTCACAGGGGCACCGTGCCTTTCTCGGAGGTCGATGTCGCACGCTTCTTTCCAACGCCAACCGTAAGAGGCCGACATCTGCAGTTCCACTTCGACTTAGGATCGCCGTCTTTTCTCCCCGGGGGAGCACAACGTCGATGTGCAGACTAGAGGGACAGGTCAGGGCACGCGCGTGAGCACCTGCTTCACGATGGCTAGGCCCTAGTCCGCCAACTACACGGTGGCCCCTCCAGATGGCCTGAGCAAGACCCCTTTATCGTGTCACGAAGGTTTCCCGAGGTGTTTGATGGTTCTTGGAGGTGATGCTCTGCAGCAGCTGCACCTCGGCAAGAGGGTGCCCGAATCGTGCCGCACGGCCGCTGCAGGCCCGAGTTCTGGCCCGAGAACATCGCGGAGGAAGGGGGATCCAGTTTTCCTCTCGTCGTGACAATGAGTAGTTGGCCGTTGTCGGCGTTGGAGGGCCTTCGACCTTTGCCGAAACACCAGTCCCAGGCCCGGGGGTCCAAGTCGAGAAAGAATCACGACGCTGGAGATTTGGGGAGAAGGGGGAGGGGAAAGGGAATCGCCATGCAGGGCCCATGTCGATTCCAACCTCCACTCCGCGTGTTGCGTCCGCCTGGGTGCTCCAGCCGCCCGGGAGCGATCCCATCACGCATCCCCCCCACGCGGAGACGGCACAAGCAGGCCGTCAGGCATCTGGCCCCGGGGCCCGAGAACGGCCCATGGAGGCCGAACCGGGGGAACTTGTTCCCGTCGCAGCACGGCAAAGGCAATCAGCGCGGGCGCTCAAGTCGGGGACGCGCGCTCAAGTCGGGGACGCGCGACCAATGAATTGTCCGGCTGCAAGATAGGGCTCGACTAGAAGCAAGAGTGACCTTTCGCCAGAGTGACCTTTGGTGCTGGCCCAATGGGGCCCTCCGATCGCCGAAAGCGAAGCGATAGTAGCGTCTTGCGCGCTTGGGTTTGTCCCCCCCCCCCCCCGGCGGTGCCCCAAAGCCGCGCACCAAAGGTCAATATACCGTAGGGGCACTCCTGGTGTAGTCGACCCCCCCCCCCCCCAAGGGAGGCGCGCGGGAGGAGAAGCGGATGCAGAGGACAGGAGGGAGGAGGAGGGCACTCACGACTGAAAGCGCTGCAGGATGAGCGCGCCGGAGCGGCCACCCAGGGTTCGAAAGCAGGGGAAACACGCCGGGTCCGAAGAACTCAGCTTCAGGTGAGCGTTTTTGTTTTTCCTCCCCAGGGTAAGGCTCGTTATCCAGACCCCCCCCACAAACCGTTAGGTAACGCTAGCGATCGTACTGGGGGTGGGGGGGCTGGACCCCCCGTATACATGCTGTGGTGCACACAGGCGAGTTATGCGCCGGTGGCGCTCCTTCCCCCGGACAACGACCGTTACCCAGGGAAGCAAACAAAAACGGTCACCAGGGGGGCAGCGGTCCCTCCCGGGTCCGTCTTGACGTGGCCCCGCGGGGCCGGGTAGAGCGGCCTCGCGGGAGGGCAGGGCCCGAGAGGCTTGATGCATCGGGAGTAATCGTCGGGGCCTCTGGCCGTGCTGGCCTCCGGGATTGCGCCGAGAGGACCGCGACGAGCTCGGCCACCACGGCGACCACCACGGCGTCTTCCACCACGAGCCGGACGCTTTCTTCCAGCGTCAGCACGACGACCGGCAGCAGCACCACTGCGGGGGAACAGACACTTGGTGGAAGCACCTCTTCTCAACCTCCCTCCCTCCTCCTCCTTATCCTCCTCCTCCTCCTCCTCTGGGCCAAAACACGCGTCATGCCCCCTACCCCCCCGACCCCCCCCTTTAACGCAACGCTCCCCCCCCTCAACGCCACGCTTACGCCCCCACCCGCCTCCGCCAGCTCTGCGGCCCGGTCCCCGGATCAAGTTTTTCCCCGCCGATGCAGGCGGCGCCGAAGGCCCCACCAGCTCCAGCGATCCCCGTGTCCTTGACGTGGCCCCTGCTGCCCAAGCAGGGGGGGAGCCCTCCCTGCTCCTCCCCCTCCCTCGTTCCGCCCCCTCCCTCCGCCTGCCCTCGCCCCTCCCTCCTTCGAGCTTCGGGCTGCTGACCTTCGTCTCCATGGTGGCTGCGGCCCCTCGTACCTCGCCCCTCCTCCCTCCTCCCTCCTGCTCTTCCTCCTCCACCACCCCCTCCTCCTTCCGCTGCCCATCGGAGCACTTTTTTTCCATCCAGCCGAGCCCTGTGGCAGAGAAGCAGGAGTGGGAGGGAGGGAGCGGGGGGGGGGAAAGCCAGGCGCGCGGCTCGCAGCCCGGCCGCGTGCACCTAATTTGTCTGGCGCCCTCGGGCGGGCCTCCCGGCGAGCCTGGAGGGCGCCCCGCCAAGCCGCCTCCGCGCCGCCCGCGCGCGCTGCTGGGAGCAGGAGCAGACCTGCTGCCCATGGCGGCAGCGCCGGCGCCCACCCTGCGCAGGGGCGGTTGGCCAGGATCTCCCACGCGGGCGCCCAGCAGCCGCATCGCATGCAGGCCACCCACCCTGGCCCCTGCGAGGCGACGTGCGCGCGCCAGGCGCCGCCGGCGAAGAGCGCGCGGGCCGCCTCGCTGCCCATCGGAGCACGCCTCGCGCCAATGCCCCCTGTCGCCCACGCGCCCCCCTTCCCCGCTCGGCCTCGCGTGCGCGCGGGCGGGGGCGAGGACGAAGGCGATGTCGTCATTATTGGCGACGACGACGACGATGACGACGTGATGTTATGATGTTTGCTTGGTTGCGTCCTGCGGGGCCGCTTTCGGGCCCCCCGGCCGGCACACGTCGATCCGTGCCAAGCTGGGCGAGGATGGGCCCCGGAAGGGGTCGGGTGGCGCAGTTGGAACGGATTCTCAGGTTCTGAGTTTCGGGGGACGTCTTTGGGAGCTCTCGTCACCGCGGCCGGACGCACTTCTCAGAACCGATCGTGATGGTCCCTGTCGAGGGGCCCAGCGTATATTTTGAGCGTTTCTGAGGCGACGACGCCGACGACGACGACAACGACGACGACGACCAGCAGACCCACGGTGGAGGCCTGAGAATGTCGTAGAGCAAGGGATCGAGGAGGTTCAAGGATCGAGGAGGTTCGAGGATTGAGGAAGGTCAAAGATGGAGCTCCTGTTATGGGGGGCGTGTTTTGCTTCTCTCTGGGCCCCCGCTGGGTCCTCGGAGGGAGCCTTGCAGGCCCTCGGTGGAGGCCCCGTGGAGCCTGGTGCGGTGCAGAAGCTGCGGCCTGGACTCCTGGAGGGCTTGCAGGCCCTCTGGAACAATCATAATTAGGGTTACGTCGGGCCTGTCCCTCTACAGGGGACAGTTCAAAAATCGTAGAAAAATAGTCGGGGGATTATTTTTGGAGCATTTTTGCAACATTTGTTTGATACTTTTGACCTCTTCATTGGTCTTCCAAAGTCCCCTTGTGGGGGGACGTGCCCTACCTGAACATAGGGGGGGGCCTGATTCCCGCGGATGACGGCGTGCATCTCCGATGGGACCAGCGCTGCCGCCCCATTCGGCAGCTCGGACTGGTCGCACACCTCCCAGTGCACAGCACACTGCTCTGGAGTGTCTGAGGCCGCCCGTGCACTCCTTGGGGCACATTCCCCAATCAGTGCTTGCACTGAAGGGGTCCTAGCGGAGATTGAAGGATTTGGCGAAAGTTCCAGGCCGATTTCGCTGGGCCGCCAGGTTCCCGGGTTCCCAGGTTCCCGGTTCAGGGTTCCCAGGGCCCCGTTTCCAGGTTCCGGGCCGATTTCGGTGGTCGGCGGGGTTCCCGGGTTCCTGGGTTTTTGGTCGATCTTCTTATCGATCGGTCTCACCATCGATCTCATTACCCACCTCTCTATCGATTTTACCATCGATCTCGCAATCGATCCCACAATCGATTTCACAAGGGATATCACTATAGATCGCAAGGGGGATCTCGCGATCGATCTCACTGTCGATCTCATTGAACCGACTTCACTCTCGGTCTCACGATCGGCCTTACGATCGTCCTCACTATCGACTCCACGATCGATCTCACAATCGATCCGAATATCCATATCATTAATTTTCAAGCCATCCACTGATTGGGTTTCTCTTTGGTTTTATATGTTCTGCGCCCGAAACCTCCCGCGTGCCCCCTCCGCGGCCGCCCGCCTCGTCCCCCCAGTTGCCTCGTGCGCCCCTGGTCCGGAGCGCCCCAGTTGCCTCGTGCGCCCCTGGTCCGGAGCGGCCACCGCTTTTCCGAACGCGTTGGCCCCCGCCCTTGCTGCAAGGGCTCCCTCGAGGGCGCGAAGTTATTCGCGCTTCGCGGTTCGGCTCCGATACCTTCTCATCCTCACCTTCTCCCCTGGGAGGCGGCGCGAGAGCGCGAAGTTATTCGCGCTTCGCGCAGCGCGAAGCGCGAAGTTGGGAGCCCTTGCCTGCTGCTGACCACAGATACGGTGGGGGCGTTGGATAAGGAGTGTGCCCAAGAGGTTGCAGACCCTGGAGGATTCCTTCTCTGAGGAGGGCGGCGGTGATATCCGTGGCCACTCCACGATTGGCTTCCAGACCCTGGGTTCCCTATCCCTAAGGGTTCCTTATCCAATGCCCCCACCGTACTCCAGGTCTCTCCATAAGCGTGGGGGGGGGATCGCGTGGGGGGGTGGGAAACCGCTGTCCTTCGGGGGGCGTGGGGAGGTTTGGGAGCGAGAGTGGGTGGGTTTGGGGCGCGTCGGGGGGCGGGCAAGGGGCGTCGGACAGGTTGGCACGGGGGGAGCTTATTGAAGGATCTGGAGTAAGGAGTGTGCCCAAGAGGCTGCAGACCCTGGAGGATTCCTTATCTGAGGAGGGCCGCCTGTGATATCCGTGGCCACTCCACGATTGGCTTCGAGAAAATGGGTTCCCGATCTCTAAGGGTTCCTTATCCAATGCCCCCACCGTAACAGTTCCAGATCTCCGGCGCTCGGATGTTTCAACTGGTGGCTTCTCCTAGACTTCGGCCCCGAGGGCCCCTCTTCGGGCCCTGGAACCATCAAGGACAGATCCGGAGCGAAGCGCTGCCCGTGGGGCAGGGTGTGGGACCTTTTGGGCCGCGTTTTTTGTTGTTGTTTCCTTTGTTCTTATATATATATGTATATATGTATGTATGTATATGTATGCTTATAAGCAAAAGAACACAAAACATCACATCGGCGGAAATCAGGGCTTCGAGCTTGGAGGTTCGAGAGCTTTCCGGCGCGTTGCGTCCCGCCTTGGACTCTGGGGCGCCCTCGTGGCCATGGCTGCCCCCCCTCCAGCATGATGGCCATGTGGGGGCGCAGATTTCGTCCTTCGGGCTCAGCCTTCTGGCGGCTCGGGGTCATATTTTCCCTCGCTCCCGGCGCCCTGGGCCCTATCCAGTCTTGGCCCTCATCGTAACTTAGGATATTCCGCCGCAAGGGTGTCATTCTTCCCTCGGCGCCAGCTGTTTCAGGACGTCCGAAAACTACGCCATGCCCTCACGAGCCTCCAGCGAACCGACCTGTTCGAGAAACCCGACCTATTCTGGCCACCTTCCCTGGGACCGTCTTTCCAACCCGAGCCGTTCCGTTGAGGGCACAGGCTCAAGAACAAGTGGATAAGGGACCCATGGTACGGTGGGGGCGTTCGTTAAGGAACGCTTCCAGGAGGCTTCAGACCCTGGAGGGTTCCTCATCTGATGAGGGCGGCGGTGATATCCACTGCCACTCCACGGTTGGCTCTCCACTGGTTTCCAGACCCTGGATTCCTTGTCGAAGGCTTCCTTATCCAATGCCATCACCGTATGGAAGACAGTGGGGGACTCCAACCGTGGACATGGCCATGGATATCACCGATGCCCCCACTGGGCAGGGCGCCCCCTCTGCGCTGGGCGCGGGCTGGGCTTGGAGTGCCGTGGGGGGGGAGGTGGGCGGAGCCCCCCCTTTGCGCGCGGGACGGGCAGAGCTTGGAGTGCCGAGGGTTTTTCTAGGGAAGTAATTTCCCTCTGCGCGCGGCGCGGGCAGAGCTGGGAGTGCCGAGTGCCGAGGAGGGGGGGTGGGGGCGGAGCCCCCCCTTTGCGCGCGGGACGGGTACAGCTTGGAGTGCTGGGGATGGAGGAGAAAGGGGGGGGGAGGGAGGAGAAAGGGGGGGGGGCTTCCCTCTGCGCGCGGCACGGGCAGAGCTTGGAGTGTCAGGTGGGGGGGAGCCCCCCCTTCGACTCCCCCCCCGCACCTTTTGTGCACCCCCGGTGGAGGGAAGGCTCCCTCTCCCTACGTATCCCCCCTCGGTTGGCTGAGGCTATTTTGTTGTTGGAGATCTTCCCTACCAATTGGAGGGTCGGCATGGGGGACGGGATAGGCACAGGGGCAGGGATACAGGGAAAAGGAGAGAGGATCTAGGATTTGGGCTGGGGATATGCGGGGTACTGATAGGCATCAGGATCGGGATCGGGGCAGAGGGGTAGGGATGCAACCGCCGTGCTGCCATAAGGATCCCTGAGGTGCTTCTCTGTCCACGGTGAGCCTCGGCCGCGCGCAGGCTCCTCGACCTAGGCACGAGGAGCGGGCCGAAACCCAGAGCCCTATCTGAGATCACAGCGGTCTTTATCTCAGAGCGCATTCTGTGGACGCTGGGGCCGGTCGGGTGTGGGGGGGGTCGTACCGCCCCCCCCCCCCCCGAGGGGTCGAACTGGGTGAGGGGCGGGGTCTGGATTGCAAGGGGGGGTGGTTTGAACAGAGGAGCGCCCCCAC